GGCTGTGGTCTTGATGAAACATGCTGTGAAACTCTGTCTTCTGCTCTACAATCATCAAACTCTCATCTGACAGAGCTGGACCTGAGTAGCAATCACCTGCAGGATTCAGGAGTGAAGCTGCTCTCTGATGGACTGAAGAGTTCACACTGTCGACTGAACATACTGAGGTTTGAATTTCACTGTCACTTAATCACTAGGTTCAAATATGTGGAAGAATAGGTGTTCCTTAACTATAGCTAGCAGATATTTCCCGTCTATACTGTAGTACGATTGTATCAGTGGCATTTTCTCCAAGAACACAAAACAGACATCACCTACTCAAAAACCCTGATGAGAAAACAATCAGGCTTCCCAACCATCCCGGAAAACCTGGGATTTTGTAATGCTGTTTTCCAGTTATGAGAATGAAATAATACCTAAATTTCTTAATGACGTCTTTGAACATTGTTTCAGTGAACTGTTTAAAAAAAATTTCCCTTTCCTTATGAATTAGATTACAATAGGTTTATTTTCACTTCATCGGTGAAATTCTCAGCTCAGAGGATCATATTACTCTTGGTTCTTGCCTCATTTCAGTAGAACAGATTCAGTGTGTTGATAACTTGACAAACGCTGTAACCGGATCATTGAGTCAGTGAGTTGAACTGGATCAGTTTGATTCATGAACGATTTGCTGCAGTGTTGAGCACAAATGCACAGATGAGTTATGAACAGGAGTTGACCCTGAGGCATTTTTTGGGCCTTGGAGTTGCTGTGACATGCCCTGACATTTGTGCTTATTTAAGCTACTTATAACTTTTTAATGGATACATCGGTAACACTTTATAATAAGTATATAGTAATAACAAATTTACAAATTTACAGAGGCAATTAATTGTGAATATAAGGGATTTAATAAATGAAACTGTATCTAACATATAACTAACTAAGCAAAACACATGAAGCAAAGTAAGGAAAAGAGAGAGAAAAGTAAAAGAATGGCAGTATTTCACATCAATTTTAACCACAACCTATGAAAATCATCAAAGAATCAAAAATCAGCTTAAAGGGGCTCAAGCTTAAACACGCATCTAAATAGTTGTAAACGGTTACTTGCATTGGCTTCGATTGCTGAACAAGAGTCCTGATGCGGTAGACAACGGAGGTCTTTGATGAGTTCTTTAGGAGTGAGCTGGAAGTTTACTTCTGGTTCTTCTGAAGATAGGAAAGTCCACAGCGAATTTAAGTTACTTGAAGATAAAAACTGCCAAAAAACAAACTCGAGGAGAGTCTTGAGAGTCTTAAGCCCTATTTGCACGGGATTAGTATTATCTGGGGACCTTGTGTGATTTTGAAAATACCCCCCTACATCTGAATTTCGTGTGGTGCATTCGCACAGGATAAGCGAAGCCTGTGATTTTACTAGAATTTACTGACTTGTCTCCCGGATACCCGGATGTCAAGGCTTTGAGAGTCACGTTCTATGCTCCAGATGGATTTTTAAAAAATAAACTAATATAGTTTTGTGTGCTGTGTCATTTACATTTCACCAGGTTAAAATAATATCTCAACCTTTATGCTTGATTTATTTGTAACACATTAACCTCAAAACCTTTTCAGCTTTCTCTTTCTGCAAATTGTATGGTGTAGCGATATGATGACAGCACCCAAAATACTATCAAACACTCCAACGCAGCCCCATTCTTCGCGGAAGATGGATAAAAAGGCGCACAGCAAACAAAAACCTTGAAAAATGATATGTGACCCGCCAATGCTGGACGAATCACAGAGATGCCGATTCGCACGGGACTAATATTATCACAGGACCTCGGTGTTCGGCGAAATATGGTAGGTCATTTGCGGGGGAATTTCTACTTTACAAATTACAGACATGGCCGATTCGCACGGGATTAAGATCACCGACAACCTCCGCAATTATTACAAATGACTGGAGGTCACCAGGTAATACTAATCCTGTGCAAATAGGGCTTTAGTGTGTCGACCCAAAAGATCATTTCGAGTTAATGACTTATGAGGGTTTTCTATACTGAATATCAGCGTTTAGGGCTTAACTAATACAAATAACGAGTGGTAACTCAGCTAATCTAATAGGGCTTTATGTGTGTGTGTGTGTGTGTGTGTGTTATGTGAGCCCATCAGTGCCATTTACTTGTCTTTGGAAACTGTTTGAAGTCAGTTGGGGAGATGATAGTGGTGGACTGCTTAGCATCTCCTTGATAGTGGGGAGAATTATTTGGCAATTTAGCCCCCATATAAATGTAAAGTCTGTGACCAGGACTGTAATTTATATGCAAATGTCAAAGGCTAAAAGGGGTCTCTTGAGCCATAAACCCCAAAGACCATGCATGATTTTACGCAGACGCTACAATAATAAATTATAAGGGTATTCGTAAGGCATTATAATGAATTAATAATGCATTATGAAAAAACTTTATAATATGTTGTATCATCTCATAAATAATCATAAGAACAGTTTTAATGTATTATAATACTTATTTGTGGTTATAGCTTTTAATAGTATGATGATTTATAACACACAGTGAACATGTTGCATCCACTTCAGTTACAATGAATTATATTTCTCATAGTTATAATGTATTATAAGTCTCATATCTTGCCATTGTTTAAGCACATTGTGCATTGATCTGCACAATAATTTAGTACATCTTATTAGTGTTTTTACTGTAAAATGACAAATACAAAGTCTTCATGAATACATCCAAAAGGCTTTATAATGTGGTCTTATTATTTATAAGTGTTCTTTGTCTGCTTTAAGTAAAGGGTAACACTTTAGTATAGGGAACACTTATTCACTATTAACTACGACTTTCCCCTCAATAAATTCCTAATTTGCTGCTTATTAATAATTACTATTAACTAGTTAAGAGACCCTAAAGTAAAGTGTTACCAAGTAAAGTAACTTCACTTTACTAAAAGCAGACTAAGACCACTTATAAATAATAATAATAATAATATTTTTCCTCAAACAGCCATAAAATCAGATATTAGGTCAGATGAATGTGTACACATTGTTACGATTATAACCAAACCGCAACAAAATAAGGGAGACACCACACACAACTGCAGCTTGACAATATTTAACTGAAATGAAATTGAAATGCGTTATCAGTATAAATATACGTCAGTATGTCAGCAAATGAATGTAAGTACAACCAGTGACAATCCAAACAACATAAAATACAGAGGGTTGATGGTCAAGACGTGAAACCCGTGGCCACTTTGATCCTCCGTCACCCTCACATCCCGGCAGCTCATCAGAAGTGTCACGATTCCGGTCTATGAACTTCCATTCACTCACCACCAGAGGTCACCCGCTCACTAGATGGACTCTCACACTACACAGACTGTTACACTTTACCCTGGACTACATTTCCCATCTGCCATTTCACTAATCACATGCTCACCTGTAACAAATCACACGCTCACCTGGAACCTATCACACACACATTACATAACACTCAGTTCCTGCTCAGATCGCCAAGTATTGTTCTGCATTTATCACTCTCCTAGTGTTAGCTGCTTTACCGAGCCATTCCGTGTTTCTGTTTAGTCTCTAGTATTGTTCTGCATTTATCACTCACCTAGTGCCTTGTTTCCTGTTTCCTTATGCCTGCCTGTGTATCTTGGATTAACCCTTGTCTCGCCGCTCTGACTCTGTTTGTAACTCGTCTGGACTATTGCTCATGTTTCTGGATTACCCCTCTTGTCAAGCCCTCTGGATTCTGTTCGCCGATCGATGACGCACGCCAGCCCTAAGAATACTCTTTGTCTTGTCTTATACATATCTGTTTGCTGATGGTCGACCCTGCCTGTGTATGACCATATCTATGAATAAAGCTTTGCGTATGTCTCGCGTCTCAGCCCTGTAACAGAATACAACAAGGATCCAGCGGCTTCACCAAGGAACAGTGGCCAGGTATGAATGCCGCAATTCTGCTGCTAGCGCTGAAGCAGGGCACACGATCACTCGAGGGTTACATTGTGGAATATTTGGCTTTGGCAAATGGCTCAGAATTACCTGATTGTATGTTAATAGACTTTTTCTGTGATGGTCTTAACCAGCCTTTAAAGTCAAGAGTGGTTCAAAAGGGTCCTCGTTCGTCACGGAGTAGTTTTCTGGATGATGTTTTGTGGACTGTTGGTTC